GTTTTTATATAACTTCATCGCTGCAGGTCTTATAAACAATAGGATTTCAAACGATTTTTTCTTAGTAGTCTAAGTGAAAGTCTTTTTTTTCTTTCTCGCTCTGTTAATTAAAATAAATACCTACAAGTTCTTTGACGTTTAGCAGTCAGAATTATTGACTGAAACATTTTGTATGTCCACTCGCAGTGTGAATGTTTTTGATGACTGTGACTATCATTATTATCATCTGATTAATATTCATCTTCGCTTTTAGAGTAACAAAAAATGAAATATGAAACAAGCCATAATTGTCTGGAAATTAAGTTTCTTTTTTCCGTCGCCATCTCGCCAGCTTGAAAATATCAAAAAATATTAGATTCTGTTTTGAAAACAGTTAATCATAACTGACACATAAACTAAAACAAATGTTGCAGAATCAGATAAAAAACAAATAAAAACAGAAATTATTGTTAATTTTATTACTGGTATACATAATAATCAGTAATAAATTTAATAATAATTTCTGTTTTTACATACTCCTCGACTTTTTAATTCATTCTCTCTCTCTATCTATCTATATATATATATATATATATATATATATATATATATATATATATATATATATATATATATTTGTAGTTAATAGCTGTCCATTTATTTATTTAAATAACACTGTGTAACAGGACTTTTGTCCTTGGGCAGCCACTGTTATTTCTTATTTGCTTATGCCTAAAATGTATTAAAAATGTCTAATATTTCCTTCAAACTTTGCTTTTGTGACCATGATAATGCTATTTCTGAAATTTACCTATCCTATTGGGAAAACTGGCGAATGTAAACATTCTCGTTCTGGCATCGTAGAAACAAAACGATATATTATTCAAAAGTAGCATTTATTTATTTTAGGATTACGCAAGAGAGATCCCAAAATAATTAGAAGTGAGTTATTTTTCGCGATTTACGCTTATACCGCAAATTAATTTCACGAATCACTCCCCAAAAATAGTTTCTCATTGTTTTCGTCAAACGATCCTTGGTAGCGACGTTCAATGTCCAGTATATTCTGATGGAAGTGCTCACCTTCCTTCTCTGAGTACACGCCCATGAATTGATCAAGATTATCGTCAATGATATGGACTGATACGGACATCCTGCAGCCCATTTGACCGTAATTCTTCACCAGGTTTCGACAAGTTCCACATAGTTTTCGGTTTTTCCACAGAAATCCCCGAACCACAAAGCTGTTCCACGCTGATCTCTACGTTCTAGTGAGCTTCTTGGAGACTTCCTTGCATTCTATGATCATTATTTGTGGTCCGGCGAAGACGTCGGCTTTGACTTTTGCAGCAGACAACTTAGGAAAGAAGTTCTGAAGGTACTTGATGGCTGCAGACTTCTTATCTAGTGACAAATTGTTCCACAATGACCAATTTTAAATGTAGTGGAAGAAACAATACATTCCAATGGTCAAGCAGAATGAATTCGATCCTCTGTAGCCAGTCCCACCTGTGGTGGTGTGCCGTGGTGTCTCTTCTGTCCCAAAGGCAAAGATAACATGGAAACTTAGTAAAGCCGCCTTGGAGACCAATCAGTTAGCCTACCATTTTGAAAGTCCAACTTCCCAGCCGTACTCTTCATACTTCAAGGTATCTAGCAAGATCTCGACACTGCTGTATTCCTCGCACCGAAGGAGCCAGTAGAAGAGATGGATACATGTTCCCGTTAGGAAACAGCATGGCTTTGAGGCTCTTGAATAAGCTGTGGTTGCGATTCCAATTGCCTCGAACAGACCGGTCACATTTTGGCAGGAGCAAAGCCTCTCTTGACGCGGGAAAAAAGACCTGAAAAGCACTGGTGAAGCTTTCACTAACATGCGTCTTTCACGCTTTTATTTTACAAATTTCACTGCTCAAGACTCGACGTCAAAAGCTTGGTATTGGACTATGATCTCAGATAGGGTCGTTGCTCTTCTGTAATCGGGATCAATGACTTCATACATTTCAGAATTGCTATTCACTTCTGAAACGTCTCTTCTCTCTTTGAGAGCTCAGGAAATTGTGACACTGGGGCAATGGATGAGAGAAACTCTGAAAATATGATAGCAGACGCATTCTTACCAATTCACTGTCAGCAAGGGTCAACCATGCAAAAGAAGCAATTGTTTGAATGGTCAGTTGGTTCCCTTCAGATTTCTGAGATTGCGATTCTGTTTTCCCCGCTGTAACCTCCTGCAGAAGAGCATAGTAAAAATATAAGTATAACAATACAAATATATTTCATCTAGTGTTATTGAAAATACTAAAAAAATTATATTTTTGATTTTTGAAATTTCTAAAATTCAAGCTCTGAATATGTAAAATTCTGACTTTGGACCTCAAAAATACAAAATCTTGAATACCGAACAGCCCAAATATTCCGCATTTTTATGGCTCATGCCAGTGGTTCAGTATTGAAAACATCCATGAAACTGTGGACACTAATGCGCGATTGTTAAAACATATTTAATACATATTTTTCAATAGTACCGGTTTAAAAAACAAAAAGAAAAAAAATCCGAAACTTTACATTTAAAAATTCCACTATCCAAACGAACAAAACTACATCTTACCTTTTAGAGTTCTTTTGAAGAACTCACATGTGAAATGGGGTATTCAGGGTGTGTCATGGTCCCCAACAGACATACCTGAGGCCTTACACATTTTAGCAGATGTTACCACAGAGTATTTTTCGCTTTTTTCTTTATTCGTCACAGACAGAGCAAAATGCCGGTTGCTTACAACCAGTTGATGCTATCTGCGACGAATGTATCAATCAACGATGGCTTACCTGTCCTTGGACAACTAGAAGTAGACTAAACTATTGAGCTTACGTTTTCTGTATTTATACTGCCATCTATGTTGCCAGAACGTTGAAGAAATTCTTGAAACTTCTAAAATGTTCTTGAAAATTCTTCTTCAACAACTCAGCGCTGATTTTGTCTGGAATGTAATGGAAAATAGGCTAGTTTCAAAAAATGGATGTGCGGATCAGAAAAGCAAAGTTTGAAGAAAATAATAGACATTTTCTCTGTTTTCTAGACAGAAGCAATTAGGAAATAATACTGACTGAGTGAAGACAAAAGGTCAAAACTTTGTTACACAGTCTAACTAAAATATGTTGTCGATTTACCAGTTAAAACATTGTTTGTACCGAAGAAGTTTTATGTATATTAGTTTTTTTTTTATTATGCTTTTGTATATTAGCGACTAATGCCTGATGGTTTTGGCGAAGACTACACTTCACTTGAGAACGTGAATCCTATGACCCATCAAAATCGTAGAAGCACCACATATACTGTAGCTGCAGTAGAAGTTTTTTTTTTTTCTTGGGCAAGAATCGCAAACAAAGAACTGTACAAAATTACAGAAACAACATCACTTGAGGACTACTAACAGAAGCAGTAGATAAAATGGTCATCACATGTGACTCGAAGAGAAAACAATGACATAATCAAGACGCTGACATTCCCCTCGTCTTCAAATAAAAGATTAGGAAGGAACTCCCCCCCGCGCCCAACACTACTGGAAAACGCGATAACAACTGGACTTGAGAAACCTATAAAAATTGTTTAAAGGGAGAGATTTTATAAATTTCAACTGAAAGTATTACTAGCTGCTCGGTCAATAAATGCAGAATGTTTCCTTATAAGGAAACGGCTAATATTACCATTACCATTTAGTTAAATATTTTAAATGCCTCTTCTCGCGCTTAAAGAGTGACACTAATGGTGTTGCTCTGTTTCTATGGAGAGGCATCTCAATTTGTCTGGTAAACATGTTTACATATATGCGCATGATGCATCAGTCTAATACCGTTTTATAGACATGAATCTATAAAACCATAAAAGAGAATGTTTGTTAAATGTTTGTTTTCTAAGCTGCATGTGGCGAGCTTGAAATAAAACCTTGCAGCAAAGCTGGTCTTGTCCAAAATATATGTATACAATATCGAATAATATAGCAAGAATTCGATTACATCTGTTTTATGAAATTCAACCGACAACGTCTGTCGGTTTAATTTATTACTGAATTTTCCAAATCTCGAATAAATTGTTACATATATGGACTGGCTTAAAATGTTTGAGAAATTCCTGTTTTCGTTCTGATTTTTACTAGATCTACTGGCCGTCTCGATTATCAAGGACTAAATGCTAAAAAACATCGGTAACAAAAGCTTAGCACTTCAAATTTAGATATACATGTGCCGTATTAGGGATGCTACATGTAGAAAGGTTTCACAGACCTCGAGAGTACCACAAAACGAATAAAATAAATATTCTCTAATAATTATTTTAAGCGGATTTTAAATATCTAATACATATTTTAATATGTCACGCTAATATGCCATGTTAATATGTAACGCGTGCAGGCACATACACTCATACGTACACGTACACCTCTGTGTACGTGTACGTATGAGAGTATGTGTGTGCACGCGTGGGTGTCTGTATTTTCATCTACATTCCGAGAAGTTGGCGAAAATTAAAGGCCTGAATATTGCTTCATGAAAAAAAGAAAAATTGTTAGATAATATTTGTTTATTTCTTGGCATTATGATTTTGAGAAAAATGTGAAATGACCAGCGAGACACGGGAAACGCTGCGTAACTTGACAGCCAAAATCTGTTCAAGTTATCCTAATGTCCGTCTGTTTTCGCATGCGCACGTGTGTTTGCTTTTGTGTTTATTTGTTTGTGTGTGTGTGTGTGTTTTCTTAAATTCATATCCTCCGATGAGGAGACAGGCACAGTGGAGATATTGGCAAATGAATGAAACGGCTGAATCGACTGTCACCCTTTGGAAAAGAACGCCTTGTCATTGACAACTTGATTCATTTTTCAGACGCTGCGATTGACAAGACTCATCGCTGCAGGGCCTGGCACGAAGCTAGGTGTTGGGTCGTCGGACTGGAGACGGAGAGACCTCCCCCCTCCTCCCCCCGCTAAAAAAAGGAAAAAGAAAAAAGGAAAATTCAGACTCTTCACAGTCGTGGATTCATTTCGTCTGAAAAAAAAAGGAAAAGCATAAAAAGACGCAAGAGAATGGAATTTGAGAAAGAGTGACAGAAAGAAGTGAAGAGTAAGGAAATAAAAATGGACAAAGAAGTAACATAAAAAAGAAAGAAATATTTAGGAATCAAGGAAATAAAAAAAGAACTAACAAAGAAGAAAGAATGATCTGATAAAGGAAGTAAAAAGATGAAAGCAGTAACAAAAGAAAAAAGAAAGAAAGAAAGAAAGAAAGAAAGAAAGTAAAGCAACGAAATAAAAAAGAACAAGGAAGTAACAAGAGAAATCAAAAGGAAGGAAAGAAAGAAAGATTTAAAATTAAAGGAAATAAAAATAAACCAAGAAAGAATGAATGAATGAATGAAAAGAAATGAAAAATAAGAAAGTAAAAAAGAAGAAAACAGTAACATGACAAAGGAAAGAAGACCTGAAAAGCAAGGAAATAAAAAAGAACAAAGAATTCACATGAGAAAGAAAGGAAGAAAAATTCTTATTCAAATGATAGTGGTGCAAAGAAGAAAAGGTTTTAAGAAAAAAAAATGCAAAAGAGGGAAAAATGAAAAAAAAGACAAAAAAAAAAAACGAAAAATAGGCGATAAGAAAGAAAATAAGTAAGAAGCAGACAAAAAATAGCAGCAAATATAAAAGAAACAAAACACCAAAGAAACAAAAAATAGAAAGGCAAATAAGAAAATAAAAAAGCATCAGAATGAAAGAAAAATGTCAGAAGAAAAGAAAATCTGAAAGCAAGGAAGAAATGGTACGAAAAATTGCCATTCAAGATTAAAAATAATACAATATAGAGGAAGGCAGACAAAGGAAATATACATACATCCCATTATTTACATACGTCTGATATATATATATATATATATATATATATATATATATATATATAAGTGTGTGTGTGCGTGTGTGTAAGTTTTCAATGTCCTGACATTGCCTGTTATAGACAAGCGATCAGAGATCATAAGAAAGAACAAAAAGGTGAAAAAAAAGTTGGCAGAAAATGTTGAAAGAACATCTATCGTGTCGTGTCTTTTCTTTATGGTTGACGACAGTGTTGTCTTCGACTGCTTGAAAAACTCACCACAACACGAAGTGCATTCGTATAGTTACCGATAGACATTTGTCCATGGATACAAAAAATGCGTACAATTAGTTGAAAATGATGATATGTATATGGTAGGAAAAGTAAGGGAAAATAAGAAATACTATTACACAAGATAGAAAAAAATGAAAAGAACGTAATCAAAAGAGTGAGAAGAGAAAGAAAGAATGAATAGAAAGAAAGAAAGAAAGAAAGAAAGAAAGAAATGATAGAATAAAACGTAAAGAAGAAGCAAATGAAATGATAAGAAAGCAATGAAGAATAACAAAAGAAAAAGTCCATGAAAAGAAAGAAAGACATAAACCAGAAACGCTTCTCGAAAAAGTGGAAAGACAATAGTTTCTGTATAGACAAGTAATAACTAAGAATTCTACCCAACTCTGAATTCAAATCTAATCACAAAGCACAAAACGCCTTTCAAATTATATTTACCATTACGAACCAAAGAACGACGAAGTGAATATATAAGACTTCGTAAACACAATAAACTATAAGAACTTCGTCTGAGAACTTTATCAACTGTAGAATATTAAAATAACAGTTGCACCCATGACCACCTGGACACAATAAACGGACTCCATATATTTCAAAGGAATATTTGAATAAGCAAAAACTCCCAAGATAGTATAAGCAATTTGATGTACAATATAAATAAATATTGCAAGGCTAGTAAGAAAGTTCATGGAGTACAAATAGAAGTCAAACTGTTGCAATACCCAATAAACAATCCTGGCGAGAATAAACGGAATAAACAGTTTTGATAATAAATGAGCTAATTCAGATTCTCACAACAACGATGTCGGAAAGGACAAAACAAGAATAAACTTTCAAAAGAAAGGTCTTGGGAAAAATAGTCTGAAAGTAATACTTCTATATGCAGCATTCCTTTAGCACACAGGCAATCATGGCTCGCCACAACTTTCTCTCTTGTGCGGCTTTCCAACTTTTGCTATGGCTCCAACCATCTATTCACACCAGCTTGTCAAGTAAGTGGCTCGGCTCGCCTCCTTTCTCTCCTGGCCTCAGTATGCCCCATGAGGGTTAAGTTTTCTAAGCCCTCCTTCCATTGAATTTCATCTTGATTTTGATCATATGAGTTTTCTTTAAGACTACATTGTTGTTTACTCACCCCGCCTATAGAATTTCCAGTTTGCTTCTCTAGAACCACATTTCTATTACTTCTATTTTTTCCTTCATCATTAGAGAAAATGTCCATCATTACTTTTCATATAAGAGGACAGAGAAATCTAACACTAAACTTCTCCAACATATGAAAGCAATGAACTTGTTGTTGGTGTACTCATGTTGACTTGAAAATTTATATCAAAAAGAAATAGGACATTCAACAAGAATAACAAACCAGCTTTGGAAATCAGATTAAAAAGTGATTGTTTTATCGATTGAGTCTAGAATACGTTGTCTGCATTCCTTGCAGAAGAATTGATGCTTGTAAACTCAAGCATAAAATATATATATATATATATATATATATATATATATATATATATACCTATAGACTCAAGAATAAAGATGACCTATATATATATATATATACTTACATATTACAATTTTAAAAGGAAATGTTAAATATCCTTATCCCTATCGATGACGGTACTTAGACGACGAAAATGAGGTTGTAAAATAAGCAAAAACACAGTCATGACGACACGGAATTTCTCAGCGAATGAGAAACGAACGATGAACGCAGAAATAATGAAACAATGAAAGAAAAATCTCTACGAAAAATTTAAATAGTAGATTCAAAATTACATGGATGAACAGGCAACGTAGAGAATACCTAAAAAGACAAACCAAATCTTAAATCACCCCCACCCCGCAAAAAACGCACCAAAATGTTATCAAAGGACGAAGTTCATAAAAACAACTATTGTCGCTTTTGAGGAAAAGGGGATGGGAGGGTAAATCACTCAGTGAGTACAGCAATACAGCAAGATGTCTGAAAAAAAAGATTCCACCAGAAAACGTTAAAAAAGAAACAGTGTGTAAAATGTCTTGGGTTTTATCATGCAAAAAATATTATTAACGCACACAAAAGTCTATCTTAGTATACAAATACAGTAAAATACACAGAAATTTTAAAATCTAAACTAAGCACCATCTTCAAATGAAGAACAAATAGATGCGACATGACAAGGAGAAAAATCACCAAATTGTAGAAGTTGAGACGCCAGTATAATACAAGATGGAAACAAAAAAAAAAATGAAAAATTTGAAAATACCAGAACCTCACCCAGAAACATTAAAGATCTAGGTTTGCTTTTAATACCGAGGCACATGGAAGTGCACCTAAAGCACTAATGTTGATACTGGATTAATTAGAGCATCAATTAAAGACTGAGTCTTTACATACTGAAGCTGATGCAGAATTTTAAGAACATTGGCTAATGGCAAGACAGTAAACAAACTATCACTTTTAAATAAATAGCACAAAGAGAAATGTGTAAGTTGAGTGAAGTAGTACGTGAAAATTGATAATTTTAAGTGATAAATATACACCTACATTGGATGGATATGGTGGATTGAATATGAGTTGGATCCTTCATGTAAATAGTCAAGCAACTCGATTGGAAGACAACCGTTGGTAGATGGATTAATGTTTTGGGGTAATATTGTAGGCAGTAAATTATAGATTCCTTTTGAATTGATAATGGCGTCAATACTGATACTGAGAATTATTGTCAATTCTTGGACATGGCATATTTTATTGACACGCCTTAAGATAAAGAATATATTCATGCAAGACATTGCTCATTCAGATTTTGGAAAACTGTCACCGACTTTACAAAAAAATTCAATGACACTAAATTAGTGGAAATATTCCCCAACTGCTCTAGATATTAATTTATAGAAAATTTATGACCATCATTAAGAAAAGATGCTTATGAGAATGGAGAACAGTATCTAAGCAAAGAGAATATCTGGAATGCAATAAAAATGGTTGCAAGATTTGGTAAAGTCGAAATAGAAAAAAAAATAAAGATAAAAATTATTGAATGTCAAGGAATCCATATTAACAAATTTGTAAATTAATAAAATAATTTATTGAGTTAGATAAGATTCTATGATGTATAATTATGAGATTTATTTATTAATAAAAATCTAAATTTAATTTAGTTTGTTTATATTATAGAAACCGACGCTCTGCAAAAAGTTTATGATAATTCGATGGATTTGTGTTCTACGGCTTATCAACCTTTTGCAGGTTATTTAAATCCAGAAAATATTTTTTAGATTGTAAGAATTTGAGTTGGGTATAATAAAGATTTTAGCGATACATGTTCCACTAATTAACCCATAGCCGAAAAGAGAAGAGATGGATTCAAGGGTATTTGCACCGACGTGAATATACCGATCCCGACTGAAAATTATAACACTTGGTATTAGCAATCTGTCACCCATCTAGGTACTGACCGGGTCCAACTTTGCTTAACTTTAGTGATCATCCAGGAATCGGTGTTTCAACGTGATATGGCGAAAAGTTACTAACAACATTTTAATAAGGTCAGATATAAATTGAAACTCATACCAGTTCCTATCCCACGAACGCAGGTGTTCCCCAAGGCTCCATCCTTGGCCCCACTCTATTCCTTATTTTCATCAACGACCTTCCTGACGCCATAGATTCCCAAGTTGGCATCTACGCGGACGACACTACAATTTACTCCTGCCTCAAAAACAAATCTAGTGTCGCTGACAAAACTAACCTGGCCGTGCGTCTTAAAATGGACCTCCAATCGGTTGTTAATTGGGGCAAGAATTGGCTGGTCAACTTTAACGCCTCAAAAACTAAACTACTCTCTATCAATCACCATAGAGATCCTTCCCTGCCCCTCATTAGAATGTCTGATAGTCAACTTCTTGAGAGCAACTCCATGCATCTGCTCGGTCTCACGTTGAGTGCTGACCTGAGATGGAACAAATACATTGAGTCAATTGCTTCTTCTACCGCGAGGAAAGTTGGCTCTCTGTGCCGCGCCAGGAAATTTTTTTTCCACCGTAATCGATACTTCAAATATGCAAATCATCCATTCATCCCTGCATGGAGTATTGCTGCCATATATGGTCTGGGGCACCTTCTGTTTACCTCGGAGTGCTTGACAAGATCCAGAGACGGATATGTAATGTAATTTGCCTGATCTGGCGTCTCGTCTACAGTCACTCTCTCACAGACGCGCCGCCGCCGCTCTCTGTCTTTTCTACAAAAATTTTCATGGCAATTGCTCCGAGGAGCTGCTTTCACTGGTGCCCAGACTTCATGAATTCAAGCGCCCTACGAGGCTGGCATCCCGCTCCCACCCTTACACTGTAGAAACTTTTAAATGTAGCCGTCTCTTCTACTCCAATAGCTTCATACCTCGCACATCTCGCCTGTGGAACACCCTCCCCAATTACTGTTTCCCTGAGAGCTATAATCTCCAACTATTCAAATGTAATGTCAATCGACACCTCCAGTTACCTTGATCTATCCACTATCCCTCTCCTCATCCTTTCTTCTATCACTCCTATCTGCTCTCGCTCCAAATCTTCTGCAACCCCCTGCATCCTAGTGGCTTCACGCCTTGCTCGGGGCGTAATGCTTAAAAAAAATACGATATATTGCTCATATAAGCATATGATTTTATTGAAAATCATGCCAGCGTCAGATGATTCATATCAATTTTACTGTAAAAACATTTTTTGCAAAATAATGTGTAATGTCGTGTAAATATAAACCAAAATGTTACATTATATATGTATCGAGTCCCTCTATTTACTAATGTAAATTATACAAAAGTGATAATATAGACGATACAAAAATGATAGAAAATGAATTACAGCAGCAAAAGAAGGAATTAATACAACAGTAAATTAACACTATAAAATTATCTTGAATTAATCAAGAATTATGAAACAAAAATTAAATATATAATATCTAAAAAAACAGGAAGATTCTGAATACATTTTGCATTGTGTGTCGTCTCTGGATCCTACTGTTCTATCGGCAATTCCTCAGTAGATACCCAACGCTGCATTTCTAGTTGAATCAGAAAATTTTCTCTAGGTTACCATTTCACCTTTTTCATTTCAGAGACATCGATTATTGGAGGAAGAGGTGATGGAAAGAACGGGTGTCAATATGACATCTACCATCACCCATCACACCTCTCTTCTCTCTCTCTCTCTCTCTCTCTCTCTCTCTCTCTCTCTCTCTCTTGAAACCATGACACGTAAAGGAATCTGGGAGAGGAAGACATCTTCAACTGTCTATTGCATTAACTCTACTCAACATTTTCGCGCGT